CATTTTTCTGAGATTTTAGCCTCTAGCATGACACATACCAAAAAGTCTAACTACAAGATTTCGATCTGAGATTTTGCCCACAGATATCTCTATTTGTAAGTAGAATTCCCGGAAAGTTTCAGCTCAAAAAAAGAATGTTGCATTTGTAAGATATTCAACTCCTAAAAACCACTGCTATTTCACAAAAAATGCTAGAATTTCCTGTTTTTGAAAACTTCAATATCTCACAACTCTACTTACAGATAAACATATCTGTAGGAAAAATCTCAGATCGAAATGTTATAGTTCGATTTTTTTGGTATGTGTCGTGCTAGAGGCTGAAACCTCAGTAAAATGCCTATAATTCTAGCCAGAAGAGCTAATGGGTGGAGTACGGGTGTGGTTCGAGAGAAGACTCGCGAACACACCTAAGCTCCCACATCCACACACACCTACCTACACCTGCATCCTTATATCTTGCTCAATAAGAGGGTGAATGCAGTTGTTGGTGTGGGATAGTGGGGCGTCAAACCACTATGCATACGGAACCCAAACAAGGCTTGTATATCCTCAATAACTGCTAGACTCGCACCCACACCTCCCTGTCTGATTAGTTATGGTAAGCGAACGAACAGTACAGTTGTTCGATAAATATCCATAATAATAGATTTTGTCAACCATGTTTTTTTTTTCTATGCATAAACCGTAGTTTATTAAATATTGTAATGAATTTCAATATTTGATGAGTGAACATCACGTTTCCAAAGATTACATGAATAGTCAAATCAATCATCATAGTACAAGTTAAGATATTTATAAAACACGTACTTTTCGAACTTCAATATTAGACTCAACAAATTCAAAAAAGACGATACTTTAGATATAGTATTAATAAAGAAAATACAGAATGATTATTTCATTGGGATAAGGAAAACTATTGAAGAAATTTTTTTAATTGAGTCCGACATTAGTAATCGTCAACATATATTGGAATAAGTTCTTTTATATTCAAATGTTCCTTGCCCTCTTATTATATTTCATTGGTTTGTCTAATAATATGTATCAAAATAGTATACATCATATTATTGTATGTCATTCTTGTCAATTAAATTTTAGTGAATTAACAGCACTTATTAATAGTCTTGATCAATTACATCGCATTGTGTTTCGATGAAATCCAAACTTTATCAACTTTAGTTAATCGAAACGCAAGAATGATTTTTGTTGGTAAAACACGAATAAATCTATAGAGATGGAGTATTTTTCACTCGTTTGTTTAATTTAGAAAGAAGTGATAGATGACATCATCTCTGGTTTGGGTACATGTTATTGCATATTTAGTAAATAAATATTAAGTTCATCACTTTCTTCCCTCGTACACGTGTAAATAAATAAATGCTGCTAAGCATTCGCAAATAAACAATTTTTTCCTTGGTAAAATTACACATCTATTGTGATACAGAGGCTTTAAAGACAGACTCTATTATCATAACTACGAATGAAATCAGTAAATCACTAAAAAGTAATTTGATATTGACTAAACTTGTAGTATGATTGGTTTTTAACTATATCTTTGATTTCGATACAAATAAGTATTTCATCGAAATTCTGGTTATTTAACCCAATTAGACTTCTCACAAACCGAATCGATTATTCAATATGTAAAATATCGTATATATTAACAATCGTATAAAATCACGACACTGTCTCGTTTGTTCAAATACACATGTAACCTCGTAGTGCACTGGTTAATTGAGAAAAGTCATGACATTGATTACACAAGCTTCTCTCTTTTTTTTCTCGCTTGTATTTCGTTCCGCTTCATTTACTACGCATCGTTCTCACATATGTACGAACTAGTCGTTTCATTTACATAGAATCAAATATGCGCTGCATCTCTCATCTTCAACCTTATTTTATAATTTATATCTTCTTTCTTTTTACAATATCTGTTCATTCAATAATATTTGTTAATTTTTGGCATTCATGTGTTGATGTATCGATTGAAGAAAATATCTTTCCAATATCATTAATACAATCATCGGAATATTATCAAGTATGTCCGTCTAGTCGTGAACATTGGCGACGTTTTGGTTCATCATTATTTCGTATGCATATTCTACGAACATCTGAACCAATCATTGATAAATACGTTGATATATATCATAATGGTTATGTTCATTTTCATAATGAAACACGAACAACAGTGGTAAGACGGTATGGAACAGAACATGAAGACTTATGACAATAAACTATTGTTGTTGCATTTTTTTATATTTCGGACAAAAATCATCACTATAGATGTTTTTTTTTTTCTTAAAATAACAATAATAACAAGAAAAAAAAAGAGTAAAAGGCGACAGCAAACAAGAGAAGAAAAACAGAGTATAAATAAACCAGAGCCACATTAGTGAAAAAAAACAGCACCAAAAAAACAAAAACACTGAACTGAAAAGAAATAACAAAACAAAAAAAAATTTACTTTCTCTCTTTATGATAAATGAATATAAACTAGCTATAAATAAAACGATTGTTTTATTGCATAAGATCAAGACTGTTGATCGGATGAAGACAACACTGTTGATTCGTCAGCACTTGATGTTGATGTCTAAACATTGAAAAAAAACATGTTTTTATACAATAATCCTTTTGTCTTTCAATTTAGAATTTAATATAAAGAGATTTCTATTTGTGTGAATATGAGCAACAAGCATGCAATATTAAATTTAATTTTTAGACGAAAAATATTTCTTTTAGTGGATATTCGGAGCGTACCTCTCCGGTTCCACTACGATGTAGATCATTCAAATGTTTATCAAGTTGTTGAGTTAGTGAATCTTGATGTTCAAGTGCTTCTTTGCCTGATCGAATTAATTCATTCAATTGTTCAGCACGAACATCAATTACCAATGAAGATAATACTGATGATGGATGCTTAACAAGTTCAAATGATTGATCCTAGATTAATTAATTAGTTAGTTAGTTAAAATTATTATATTGAAGTGTAAAAGAAACAAACAAACATCTAGTTTCTACATTAGAACATGCAACTAGTTAAAACGTCAAACTAAAATATTTCTTACAACATCAACAGGTGAAGGATGAGCAGCAACAAGAAATCGATCATCCAGTTGAAGTTTTAATGCAGAAACTTCACTGATTGTTGCATCATGTGCTGATTGTAAACGTTGAATTTCATTCCGAAGACGTTGAAGTTCATCATTCAATTGCTCATTCTCATTACGAATATTTTCAAGTGTAGCATCTTTCTAAAAGAGAGAAATTAGAACATAAATAATGAATAAATTATTCGATAATAAACCATACACTTTTTAATTCAGTAAGTAATGTTTCTTCTTTATATTGCACAGTTTTTTCAATTTCTCTTAATTGACTTTCCTATAAATTAAACAATAATTAAATTTAAAACAAAAATCAATCAAAATAATAAACTGTTTTGTTTTTCTTACAATATCATTCATATTTTTATGAAGTTGATCATTTTCAAGTTTAACTGCTGCAGATTCTTCTTGTAAAATTTTCTAAAATATTATAAAATGAACTAATTAGATAAGAAGAAGAAACAAAAATTTATAGAATACATAATTATCTTTCTCGTTCAGATGCCATGTTTTCAAATCTTTACATAAACGATTATGCTTATTACGAGCCTTATTATGCGACTGGCCTAAACACAACATATATCACTTTCTATACTGTAATCAAGAGAACCTTGATACTCGGAAAGAATATATGAATGTGCATATCGGATGGCACGGGCAAGGCATTGAATATAACATATCATTTATGCTATCAGATGGATTAAAGCTTTTCATCATTACATGAAAGATATTATGTGTACAAGTGTAGATTCGACCTCGAGTTCATATGATTATAACCATTGAACTAAAGCAGGCTTTACCTTGCTTGATTCGATACTTGATTCAAATAGTTGTCGATATGATGATAGCCATTGATTGAAATCCTTGAGAAAAAGAAAATTATGAATTAGTTGTTTATAAATAAATTTAATAATAACTGTTATTTTTTGATCATATGTAAGCAAAGAAAACTTATTAAATCGATTCATTTTCATCATTTTAAAGTTTATTTCGATTTGTGGAATATAAATTCTATCGTAAATTAAAAATTTATTCCTTTTCGATTAGAAAAGTTTTGCAAAAACTGATAAAGTATGTCTTTTTCCTCAGTATACTTTGAAAATTTCAATAATTCAAAGACCAGATTTTTGTAAAGAAAACTCTAATATTAGTTTTTTTCTGATAACTCTTGAAAGTTTACAATTCTTTTGTTAACCCATCTAGTCAATCTATTCAATTTTTTTTCAATGCTTCGTAATTTATTATTATATTCTATTGAATGAGGAATAAGACGAAAACTAGTTGTTTTATATGTCTACTTGGTTGTTAATCATATTTCACATAATGGACTGTGAACCGTGAGTTTTATATTTGGTTCTATTGTTCTTAACAAATATTCACTATACCCTCTTCAATTAATAACTTAATTATAACATAGGATTTCTATTGAAATGCATACAAACAGATGTATATTTACTTGATTATCATGAGATAATTGATTTCGTATATCTGATGGTAGAAGGTCAGTTAAAATTTGTCGTTGTTTTTCATGTTCTTGATGAAGACGTTCTTCTAATTGTGAAATTGTTGACTAGCATAAATAGATAAAAAAAAAGAATAATGAAAAGATTTGTTTAGGTTTTTTTTGTCTTACTTTGACTTGATCAAGTTCAGTTTGTAAAGTACTTATTTCAGCATTTTTAGCATCAAGTTCAGCTCGTAATGTACTAATTTCAGTATTTGTAGTAGCAAGCTCATTACTAAGGGATCTTTAATAGAGATACATTATATTTTTTTTCTTAAACTAAAATTTATTTATTTTATTCTTACTCAGAAGCTTGTTGTTGTTCCTGAGTTTTATCCTGCAATAAAAAGAAAGAATTAAGAATAAAATTGAATCTACTTGTTAAATATTCTATAATACTTGTTTAAGTCGTTCAATTTCTTGTCGTAATTCATTCTCTTGAAATTGATGTTGAGTCTAAATACGAAAATTTAAATTTATCAAAAAGAAAGACCATTAAATTAAAATAAATTTACTTGTAAATCATCAATTTTCTTTTTATATTCTTCAATTTCTTCTGTTAATTTTTGTTTTAAATCATTATATTCTCGTTCTTTTTCTTGATTTAAATCTAAACTTTGTTTTAATTGTTGAATTTCTTTTTCTAATTGTTCACGTTCTTCATTATTGATTGTTATTGTTTGAATATCTGTTACTGCTGTTGGTTCAACATGAACAATTTCTTCACGTCGTAATTGTTCATTCTCCTTTTCAAGTTGTTCAATACGACGTTTACATTCATTGATTTCATTTATATGTAATGTTTGAGTTTCATTAAATTTTTTATGATGTTTTTCTTCAATATGTTTTAAATCTTTTTCAGCATTGTGAAGTGATTGAGTTAATTGTTCATTATAGCTAGAAGATATTGAAATTAATTTAGTGTCTTACAGCCACTCAAATATTATATAGCTCATTAAATTTTGTAAGCCTCAGTCTTTGAAGATTATGTAACGACTAAGTTTATTTTAAGTTTCTTCTGCAATAGATTTTTCTTAAGATTTTTCATAACTTTCGAAGAAAACTGGTACTAGAAGAAATTCAAAAAAAAATCGAGCTTTGTTTACTCGTACCGCAAAGTCTTAGCAATATTTTGACAATAGCTCGGAGTCTGTATCATTATATTTGAATAAGAAATCTTCAATAAACTGTAGTTTACTTGGAAATGTTCAATATAAGCAATTACAAGTATATAGATTTCGTCTACATGATATTAATTATTGTACCTGTAAGTCGTCCGAATATTTCACTCGGAATTAAAAATCCGATGATATGACGAAGTGTCTTTTACGTATTAACGAACGAAAAAATAAGTATTTGTTATAATTACAGTAAAATCTCTCTACTTGAGCACACTATACTACTGACCAGTCTATAATCTGCTCAAGCGAATTTCGCTAAGAATGAGCCTCTCTCAAATATGAGCACTTCTTTATTCTGAACAGTGGACATTTATTTCTGATCCAATGAGCAATAACAATTGTCGTAAAATAAGCACCATGTATTCTACCGTTAAGATGCAAAGAAAGAAAAAAAATGATGCTATGTATATTGCGTTACGGTAAACAATGATAGGACACGTATGAAAAAGAGGATAGATTAGCAATGAATATTTAAAAGAAAAAGAAAACAATATTAGACAATTCCTATTAACATCGAATCATATCAATGCATTGCGATTTACACTTAATGACAAGAATGAAAAAAAGTTGAATAATAAATTGTTAAAATGCAGAAAATGTTCACTTTATGTTTAGTCGATCTCGATTAGAGATGTGTAGAATCCAGTTATTTTGCACTCTTTGATGTACTTAATCGGCAGTGAGCGCTTGTTTGGGTCATCTCTCTTGAATTATATTCTGACTGATATGATTTATAAGATAATTCACTTAAAATCTTAGAATGTTTAACCATAATCTTTAGCTTTGGTTGGAACAAATTTTTCCTCACAGATCCGAACATCTTTAGTCCTGATGGTGTCTAAATTAGAAAGGATTTACTATCAATATAAATCCTCTATGAGCTGATTCATCGTTCTATCATGGAATTTTTATTGATTTACGTTTATACACTCAGTAGTTTTTATTCCGAATATTCTTCGACACTCAACGATCTACTCAGTTCGTTCAAAAGAAAATACTCATTACTATGTTCATAAATTAGTCATGTTCACGATTGTGTTTTACTAATTTATATATGATCAAATAAATTATGTAAGCTCAATCTACTATTAATATTTAGCACTATTTATGTGGTCTGTAATATATTCGAATACTAGAGGCGATTATAAAATTTTGACTCATACTCATAAGCGAAATATATGTGGGTTAGTAAAGAAAGAAACTTCTTCTATCTAACAGTATATGCATTATCAAGTTCTATAACATGCCGTCGAAACGTCAATAGAGGGAGCTTTCGTCGCCGCACCTACAGTCGAATAAGACAGAGATGGCGTCTCCCTATTTCTATCTCAGTAATACGCAATAGAATACTGATAATACATATACCATTAGATAGAGGAACTCTCCTTCTATTAACCTACATAGACTTAGTTCTCAAGTCACAAATCACCATGGTATTTAAACTTGTTTTTGAATTTTCATAGGTAAAAACAGAATATTAGACATTGATTAGTATAGATAAGTTTTCAACTCTTAAATATTTATTCAAGATTGAAAAGCTTTAGGTATTTATTCTTACCGAATTAAATCTTCTTTTTCTTTTTGTGCTTCTTTAGCTAATAATTCATTGCTTTTAGCTTTTTTTTCCAAATGACCATTATCAACTGATAATTTTTTAATTTGATCACTTAATACTTGTATTTTTAAATTTGATGCATCTCCTGTATGAATTAAATTCGATGCTGCAAGTTGTTGTTGTTGTGCTAATTGATGATTTAAATGAATATTTTCTTCTGTTACTCGTTGTAATTGTAATTCAAGTTTTTGAATTTGTTGATGTTGTTGTTGAGGATGTGCATTTATTGATTCATGTTTATGATGAACAGAATCTAATTGAGCATGAAGTTGTTGAATTTCTCGTTCTTTTTCACTTTTTTCTTTTAATAAAACATTATTACGAACTTTTTCAGTATTAAGTTCATCAGTTAATTCTTTTACACGTTTCATAGCATTATTTTTCATTTCTAACACAAAGGAACAAAAAAAAAAAATATGTAGAATAAAAACTTTTCTTTTATTTATAATATAATACCATCTTCAAAAGCTTTAGCTGATTCATCTAGAACTTGACCAATATGTGCTTGAGGATCAACTTTTTGACCATGTTGTAACTAATATTTGAATAGAAAACATATATATATATGAAATTCTTTTGTTTTATTTTTTCGTTGTCTTACTTTATTCCAATCTTTTCTGATTACAGATTGTTTATTTGCAATCTTATGCATAATGATATCTAATTCATCAGTTGATAAAGGAAATGCATCAAGTGCAGACATTAATTCAGTAACAACAACTTGAGATGATGGTAGAACTATAAAGATACTTTGATAGGTTAGAAGAAAAAAAACAACATAGAGAAATTTTACCCTTAATAAGATCGGCAATTTTTGTTGGTATTTGTTGTTGTTGCTGTTGTTTTAAAGGCATTGCATTTGTTTGAAGACCATTGAATTGAGTTGGTATTTCTTTTTGAGGAAGTTGTTGACGTTGAGCTAATTGATCGTGTTGAACTTGAGCTGAAGTAGATGATTGTACAGAAGGAGCAGTCGATGATACAGGATTGGCTTGCTAGGAAAAATACGAAACATATAACATAAAATTTTCATAAAATTCGAATCTAACGAACTCAAATAAATAACTTTACATAAATAAAATATCTTTACTAACAAGCAAATCATCCGACACAACTCAGAACTGAGGACTCTTCCAGACACGCACTCGGGTCCACAAAAACATGGATCCGTAGCTTTCTTACTTGTAGAATAAATAAGCCTAAAATACTATTGACTAATGTATCGAAGTTTTCATTCACGAAAACTACATTTTCGAATTTTTTTTGATGAAGTATCATCTAGGCATGTATTGAAATAGATGTGTTACTGAAAATGATCAGGATTTTTCTCGACTTTTATATTTCGAATTACCAGCTTGATTTCATTTAACTGTATATAAATTTGAACAGGTAGAAAAATTGAAATTTCGACTGAAAATTGGATTTATCTGTTCGGTTTTATCTACCCCAAAATGAAACCAAGGTGAATCATTTGAGATAAAAATCCTCATCTTTCTCAAGAAGACATCTGTCTTCGTGCATGTCTAGTATCTAAATGTCAAGAAAACTACAGTAAAAATTGTTGAATTTCTTTTAATATAAGGTAACAAAACTTCTATATATTAGCCAAATAGTAACATGAGATTATATTCTTTTAGACTTATCATTTATGAATTCAAAAGGGTTTGGGGTTTGATAACAAAAGAACATGCTTTCGATGCATTATTTCAATTTTTGAAAATGATATAGTAGTGTTTCAAATATGATGAAAGACGATAAGACCTTTTTTTTTCCATGATAAAAAATACTTGACTTTCGCTGATGACTACCATCTACTGTCCTCATTATTGAAAAAAAATGGTATTTTTCGATTTTGAACACATGAAAACAACATTCCATACAGATAAATTCGATCACGTTATGCTTGAAAAGTCTACTGCTCAAGTATGGCCAAGTATTTTCTAGACAGACTAACTATCATAATTGTCCGACACAGTAACATATTCAACGAACTAATTCTTGAAAGGTTCAGATAGTTTAATACGACTATTAGTTTCTATTATTTATAAAATGAAACATCTTGAAGACTAGAAATGTTCAGAGTAAGCTTTTTTCGAACCATATACTTTGATTGAAAAGAATTTTCTAATCCTTATTCGAACTTTGACATCTCCGTTGAGATTAAATCTTAATAAATAAGATAAGATATTAAGCTAACTAATTCTTGTCTAATTATTTAGAAGTTTGTAACACAAGAGCTAATATGTATGACAATTAATTTCAATAGTTTTCAATTGAAATACAGTCAAAAACTAATGAATTATAATCAATGTTTATATTCTTACTAATTTATTTGGTTGTTGTTGTTGTTGTAGTGGTGGTGTTCCTGTCTTATGTCGATTAGCACCAACAACTGTAAATGGTTGTTCTGCCGGTTGTTTTTGCATTGGTTGTGTTGGTTTTTTAGTTATTGGTTGTGAAGAAACAGGAAATATTTGTTTTTTTGTTGATTCTGATGATTTAACTTGAATATTCGATTGTTGTTTCGTTGATTCAACTTCATCTTTAGCATTTAATTTCGGATGTGTTACTGGTGGTGCTCGTGTTGTATTTGGAGTTTTTTCATCTTTAACTTTGCTTTCAACACGAGTCGTTGATGTTGATGGAATTGATGGTGTTGGTGTAACAGATTTATTTTTATTACGTTTACGAGCTTTAGATGATGTTTCAATAGTTTGTGATGATGTTTTTAATAGTTCCTAATATTAAAAATTATTATTATTTTTTTTTGTATGTTGAAAATAAATAAAAGTTTTCTTTATTTACTTGTTCACTTTCATCTCGTTCATCATCAGTTTCTTCACTTGTTTGTAATATTGGTTCTTTATGTTTATTTCGTTGTTGTTCATCCTCTTTATTTTCACGTTTAGATTTTTTTTGATCTTTACGTTTTTTCTTTGAATGTTCAATAGTTGTTTTATCTTTTTTCTTCTTATCATTTGTTGAATCCAATAATTGATTATTATCATCAATTGTTAATGAATTTGATATATTAATTTTCCATGCCAAATAACCAAAGAAACCAACTAATGTTGTAATTATTACCAAAGCAATGAGAATAGCTAACCAATCAATCATGTTTTATTAATTCGATTAGTTAAATTTCTTTTTTGGTTTTATATGTACACTCTCACTCACACAACACACGCACAGGTAAACGGTCTAGAAAAAAAAAAGAACGAATATAAATCAAATAAAATAGAAGAAAATAACATTTGATATCAAAAGACACCAGCTGGAATTATATTTCGTCCTACGCGCACATATTCTAGGACGAAAATGATAAAAAAGAACTGAAAAGAGGGAAAGCGAGAGAGAGAAAAATAAAGTATTAGTTCTCTATCCTATATAAACAACAAAAGACGATATGATATCATCATCTGATATGACACGTGTATATATTTTCAATGAGAATTTTTCTTGAAATTTTTATTTTTTTTCCCTAGAAAATAATTTATAGATCAAGATTTGATTATATTTATTATTAACAAATTCAATTGCTTAACAAAAAAAAAATAAAAATAAATGAAGGCATGAAAACCTTACGAATGGTGGAAATTCATCCAATTAGAGTTAAGTTCTACAATCATAGTAATTAATATATCAATGCGAAAAAGAAACAAAATTCGATAATAAATATTTAAAATTGTTTTTTTTTTCGTGTTTTATATAAACAACTAAAAAAAGAATCAATTGATCGGTTATATAATGCTTGACTAAATTTTTCGTACGATTTTATCCTCGGGTAAAAAGGTCCCTTTTTGATATGTGATTTTTGTCATTAGTGTATAGTCATTGCCTGTACATATTCACCAAAAAAAAATCCAATTTAGAAAGTTATGTCGTACTCGAATTTGACTTATAACAGTCCAAAGTAATCACTTTTTCGTACGGTTTTTAAATAAAATAATTTTTCTTTGAAAATGTTTAGAACAAAACATAGACTACACACACTTTTAGTAGATGAAAATTTTCTAGGAAGCAAATTGCCTACTCTTCGGTAAATATGACATGACACACATGTTAAACTCTTTACTTCCAGATTTACGTGAAAAAATTATTTTGTTGGATTACGACATAAGGTAATTGAGACAACATTTCTAAAGATGATCTTCGAAGATTATCACTAGTTTGAGAACATTGCCTCAATGATCTAATATTTCTGATAGTCTTAGTTGCCAAAATGTAAACTATTTTCATTTATTCGTTCATATAGATTCTAGATTTTTCTTTCTAAACATTTTCAGAGAAAAATAATTTTATTTGAAAATCGTACGAAAAAGTGATTTATGTAGACTGTTATAAGCTCAATTCAAGTACCACTCATCTTTCTGAGTTAATTTATTTTTGTAGATATACGACAGATAATGATAGGACCCACGGCAAAAAAGCACGTGTCACAAGAGAGCTTTTTAATCGAGCTACATTAAAAAAAGTGTATGAAAAATTTTGTCTATTCAATGTAATATATAACGAGACATGGGGTAGAAAGCAGACGAAATATCATACTGATCAATCTTGAACGTTGCACGACTACTTCACATTCTGTTCGATCTGTAAAAGATTCTCGTTTACATTACTTAGATACTAAACTAATTATACGATAATCTATTTCGCGTAATCCTAATTATTCTTCTACTACTCGATTATACTTTGCTGACAACTGGCATAATTTCTTTTCTTTAGGATATCGTTATTCTAACCACCAAGGGTTGACATTTTCATACTACACTTCTACATTTATTTCGATTTATAATTGTATATTTTTCATGAGAAAAGATTTGATCATGAATGGAATGTAAAACTAAATCCCTTGTCAATTAATAAATATGTATAGAAAATTAAATCAACTCAAAGTTTGTTCTAAATACCTTCTTGATTTTTTTATACCACTAATAAACTATGAATAAAAAGTAAATGCGAAAAGCACTTTTTTTTTTTATAGAAATCTTATTATTATTATATTTGGATGAGACGATATTGTTTCTTAGTTTAATCATTTCCTATATGAGAGACGATCACTTTTAATCGAAGTGTCTTTTTTTGCTTTACCTCTTGACAATGATTTTGTTTGTAGAAAGAAATATACATGTTGGAAACTCTGAGACAAGGTACATATATGTATGTATATAGATGATGGACAGAACCATAATGCACTAGAAGAGATAGAACTCATATGAAGATAACAAGAATATTACAGGATTAATTGATAGTAGCTGTCATCAATCATCAAGGACTCAAAGAAATAGTACAGAAGTAGCAGCTCAAACTATACGAAGAAAAAATACGAGTGAGAACACAATACGACTGATAGTTTCAGAATTTATTTCAAATGATGGAACGATTGGTTATAGAGTTGTCTTTGTCATTGGAGTATCATTATAGACTAGTGTGATAGCTGTCAGATGATTAGAGAGAAATGAGCCATCAGAATGAATGGCATTTCTCCCACTACAAAACAACTTTAGCTCCATCGTAGAAATTTTTCTTCATTCGCTATTCCCTAGTAAAAACTTTCGAGCTACGCCACTATAAGAGATATACTGAAACCCGTTACTACTTGACTCAAAACTAAGGCACATGTATGTGCTACTTTCCTCGAAAGAGTTAAAATCATCTTTTTTTTTTGCAACCATTTGAAAAGTTGTGTAATCCTCACTCAAAATTTGCTGTTGCATGATTTTAATAAATAAATAAACAAAGAAACGAATGCTCTGCTATAGATATTTATTTAAAGTAACTGGTTTGAAATATTGTCTAATTAAAATCTCATTAACTTAAAATGATTGTCGCAACATTGGTTGGTCGAGAAATGAAAATGTCGAAAACTGTGGAACACACTTCTGAACATGTTCTCCTTCAAAAAAGTAAAAAAAAACGCAAGTAGTTAAATTTAAATCAAATGTTGACTATTGAAAAAGAAAGAATGAAAGAAAACCAAATATACTTTGATGTATAAGTTTATCGACCTTAAATAATGTTTTTTTCTGCTACGATAAAAGACAAACTGTTAAGAGAATCAGATGCTGTAATCACATAATTATTAAATCGATTATGTAACAGGCTTATTCGACTTTATAAATGTTACTGTTTATTTGCTTTTCTGCTTCGATGCATGAAAAGACCATTGAAGCACAATGTTCTGTATATGTTTTTCGTCTGCTTTAATAAAATTGATCAAGTGCTATGTATTTGGATGATTTTAATCAATACGAGAGTTTATTCTAGTATAATAACCTTCAATTATGATATGAGTGTGTCTTCTCTTGGGATACACACATTTCTACTCAATAAGCCGGTATTAATCGTGCAATAATAACATCTTGTAAAATAGTCTTTCTTTCAAAGTTGTACTTTTTATTATTAAAAAAGTTTTTTCAACATTTTGTACTTTCGATTGGCGACTTACCTAATAAATTCATATGGAAATTTGTATAAATGTTTTCATTATGATAGTAATATGCTATTAAAAATTAAAAGTGTGTATCAATATATCTTGTTTATTTGAAATAACGAATGTCCTGTATACTAATAAAATGATTGTTTAAAAACAAACATACATATTCACATATCTGATAACATAATAAAGGTGTCAGTTATATCTCTCCTCTTTTTTCGGTTTCGTCGTTGTATCATGTTATCGCTAAAACTTATCTTTTCTTTTTCTTTTTTATAGTTAATGTATCAAACTTGATGTTGAATATGTTCGGAACAGACTAGTGTCAATTGCTCGAATAGAACCAAAAATGATAAATAAACAAATAATCGACACATCATCTTCCGAGGAACAACATAATCATTCTATAGTAAATGCATCTGAAGATTCAGCAACTTTAAGTAGTACAATCAATACTACAGAAGGAGAAACAGAACCTTTATTAGGTGAATATCAAGTTGAACCATCTTCATCAGGTTTATTTTTATGTTCAAAACTACGTGCACGTTATGCGATTGCTATATGGGCTTTCTTTGGTTTTTTTTGTTTATATGCAATGCGAGTTAATTTATCTGTAGCTATTGTTGCTATGGTCAGTAAATTGATTATTTAAGATATATAATTTTATAAAATATTTCTTTTAGGTAGCACCACAAAGTGCATTAAATCAATCCATTCAAGCATGTCCAACAGTCGAAAAGAATTCCACAAAACCTGCACCAGTAAGTGTTCTGTTACTTCTTTCCTTGTATCTATTATCATTGACATTAATTTAATAGAAATATGAATTTGATTGGGATCCATCTAAAGAAGGGATTATTCTAGGAGCATTTTTCTATGGTTATCTTACTACTCAAGTGTAAGTCAAATTTTAAATATTTTCTTCTTATTTTTTTTATCAGAGAACTTTTCTAGGATTGGAGGTAACAAAAATTTACAGATGAATTCTATATGTAATTGTATTGTTTATAGGAAATTTAGCAGAGAAATTTGGTGCAAAATGGATCTTTGGTGGAGGAATATTTATAGCA